CTCAGCTGAACACAAAGATGTTCAGGACGCTGATATTTTCATGCACTTGCGGGTGAGTAGTTATTCCCGGACATGGCCGAACCCTCCACCTTCCGGTCCCTCTCCCAGAACCTCCCACCCGCTCCCGCGTGAGTCAGCAGCTAGCCAGGCTCCACGCTGCAACTACAGTGCGGCATAAATGTGTCAGTGGCTCTGTCATGCTGGTGTTAACAAGGAAAATTATAGCCAACCTTGTTATAACCCACAACCAGAATTCCTCTCCTAAACTCATTGAGAAAGACACATTTGGGGAGCCTCAAGCTTCTTGCTTCTGAAAACCACTGATATCACTGTAAGCAGTCAGGCCCCGGCTGCTGACCCTCGAGCGGGGTTAAGATGAAGCTCAGAGAATATGGAAACCCACAGGTGGTGGGGCTTGGGGAAGGAAGCAGAGGAAAGGACGGAGGAGGAGGTGTGAGGTCACACAAAACGCAACCGGCTTCACCGCTGTGCCGGGAGCAGACCCGCACACCCCTGCTTCGAGTCCGGTGTCCCAGAAGTGAGCAGATGCCGCAGTTATTTATCAACCTGAAGACGTTTCGTTATCCAACAGCACTTAAGAGCAAACATTTCTAGTGTATGTAAGCTTCAATTTCTTCAGCTAAGATGGTTGGCTTTCATCCGGGTCCCACTCACTTTGTTCTACATTTCTACTAGCGCATAATCCATGAGCTGACCTTTACTGATGCTCCTGCAAAATCAGAGAGCAAATGAGTTGCCATCTACCCATTTTTCTTAGTAAATGATTTGGAGAAAGCTATTAACTTGCCTCCAGGCCTAAAGTTATCTGGAGGGTATCTAAGAAAAAAATGCTTACATCATTTATTCATTTCCAATCTTGCTCCTATGCTAAGAAAGTTCATCTTCATTTCTGGTGAAGGTGGAGCTGATTCTCCAAGTCAGCTTTTATAAGCAGAGTAAGATCCGCTTCTCTTTGGTGCCAGCTTCTTGCTGAGGCAGGTTGCTTGAATAGTTTGCGGTTTTTCCATTCATTAGGAATTCATCTTGGCATTGACAACGCTTCACTGATTATTATGATTCGTGAGCTGCTGTTGATTTGACTTCATCATGGACTTCCCCGGTGAGCTTGCTTCCCTGCGCTTGACACTAGTTAAGCATTTACCCAGGGGCCTCCCCAGAAAGCCCTTTCCTTGCTGGAATGCAGGGTAAGGCCTCTCTCTCTCTCTCTCTCTCTCTCTCTCTCTCTCTCTCTCTCTCTCTCTGTGTGTGTGTGTGTGTGTGTTCCTGTTGACTTTTTCATAGTCAAGATTACTCATCACAGCTGAAGACAGAATAACAATAAGAGAGAAACAGTTTCCGTAGAGCAGAACCTGCAGTTGCTTGACAGCGAGCACTCATGAGACACGGCTTATGTGAGCAGTCGTCTTCTAACAGTATCAGAGGTGTTCCAGACCTTATACAGCACGCTGAGCGGGACGCTGTCCTTTCCTAGCAGATCACGTTTGCTAACACATAATTTGTTGAAAGAATTTAGGCGATTTGGCAGAAATAAACTCAAGCAAGCTCTACTTCTGGATAATCTTTAGTCTTCTACTGATGAAATGCAGCATAAAGGCATCCAACATTTGTGAGACTATGACATCTTCCTTGCCTTTCCTAGTTGAAACTGGTCCTTTAAAAAAAAAAAAGAAAAAAAGCCAGGGGCTGTTGCCTCAAGCCTGGAATCCCAGCACTCTGGAGGCTGAGGCAGGAGTATTATTGTGAGTTCCAAGACAGCCTGGGCTACACAGTGACTTGAAGGCCAGCCTGAACTGCATAGCAAAACCCTGTCTCAAAAAGACAAAGAAAAAAAAAAAAGCCAAAAAAAACCACCTTAATGCTAATTACCCTGATTTTAGCGCATGCTGCATGCATGTATTGAAATATGCATGCCATTATGTTGGCTGTGAAGGGAGACTTGATATACTGTCTCTCACTAAACATACGGTTACTGCGGACTTACTAAGTAAAGGTCATAACAGTGGACTGCACTTTGCCATCAACAATACCCACCCCTCACAGTCCCTGATATTTTCCGTCTTTTCTCCAGCGGGTCAACTCTTCTGGGGTTCCGTTCTCTGCCGCTCTTTAGGCAGCCAATATTTTCAACTTACCCTGTGTGATTTCAAGCATGCTTAGTTTTTATTTCAAGTCATCTCATAAGGATCCTTAGATAAAACACCCTTTCTATTCTTTGGATATTTGCTTTCCTGCTAGCTTATAGCAAAAAAGTGGGGGCTGGGGGTTTAGCTCAGGGGCTGGGGATTTAGCTCAGCGGCAAAGCGCCTGCCTGGCAAGTGCAAGGTCGTGAGTTCGGTTCCCGGTACCGGGAAAAAAAACAACAAAAAAAAAATAGCAAAAAAGTGACATGACTAAAATGACTAAAAATTACTAATTTTTCTCATGCTGCTGTTCAATAAGGTAAAGAGAGAAGTCTCAAATTCAAAATACTTTCATTACTAACTTAAAAAAGTCATTTCATAGAAAAGTCTAATCTTCCCACACAGCCAAACATATTTTTAAAAACAAATCCTCTGTAGTAATAATCTTGAGGCTGTCCTTAGCTTTTCCACAACTGTAAATATTCAATGTGTTTTTATAAGGACGACTTAGCCTGTTGGCATGAGTTTCTTTTATTCCGAAAAAGATCAGTCACAAAATTAGAGCAAAGTTAACCATCTTCATTTCTTCTTTCAAAGCGTTCCAGAGACACTGCCGACGCGGTGGGGAAGGTCACACTCTGCGTGCCTGCGTCTCCATCTTTCCGTCCACGCTGGCCGGGTGTACAGGAGTGTCACGAAAGAGGCCACGCACGGGCCCCACATGGAGTCCCTCCTCGTGTTTAGCTATGTGAAAGGTCTCTAAAAGTTGCCAGCCGTTTTCCACCCCTTCCCCTGTGAAACGGAAGACAGAAGCGTCTCAGGCAGCGACTCAGCTGGGACGATGAGGGAAGAGACGCCCAGGACAGGGTCAG